TTTGTAACAACCACGCCATCATTTTGATTCACCTTGCTGAGGTAATGGGTGCCAAAGTTGTCAATCAGTTTGTAGAATCGTTGCTTGTATTCAGGGCTGTAGATTTTGGGGAGCTGTTTCACTGCTTTGCAAAATTCTCTGTGCAATTTGGGACTGAGGGACACTCGGTAGCTGTTTTCGGACAATAAAAGACAGACCAGTATAAAACAGGTATTTCACAATGTTGTATTTGAGCCTTAAAGTACATTACTTTTGTTCCTTGGCATAAATCTTTGCATGTAAGAGAGTGTGTGGAGAAAAGTTTCATCTCAGTCCCCATCTTCTTACCTGTAGTACTCGCAGGACATGCTTTGGCTTGTGAAGCTGAACTTGTCATTCTTCGTTTTTTCCATGGAGTATTCAGCTAACTTAGAATTGGTTCCAGCTAGCATCAATGAGCCTCCTTTTTTTACCAACATTAACATCTAGATTGGCCTGCCAGTTGTTTTCCACCGAAGAGGAGCTGGAACTGACCAGAGACTCACTAGATCTGTGGAGATTACTGGTAACTTTCATGCTGCAGGAGTATTTCGCCCTCCAGTCCTCCACTGACAAGGGGAGCTTTTGCTTTTTGTTCTCCAGATAGGGGTTGCTACACAGGGTGCATGTTTTGTCCTTGCGTTTCCACTGATTCATGTCGAGCACAAAGGCCCCCTTACGTTCCATTTTGGTAATGTCGAAGCCTTCCCCGGCCAAATTGGTACCTGGAGCAAATTCCGCATCCAGGCACTGTCTGGGTGTCCCTTCCATGCATGACTGATACGTACACTGAGGGAGGGACAGCATGAGGCCGGCACAGACGCAAATATACAACAGAAACATGGCTGATCCTGAAAAAAACAAACATTTTAGTTGAACAAACATGAACATGAAGTGAAGAAGTTTATTAATGAGATTTCCACACTTAACTAGTAAGGAACATTTGCTAAATAACTTAATAACAACACTATATATTTTTACAATTGTTATATTCAATAGCCAACAAAATGCTTTTTTTTTTAAAATAAAGTTTGAGAATATTTCAAAATGAGCAAATCAGCACAGACTTACATTTGTCTTTTGTGTTCACACTGTATGCGTGACTCTGTGGGCTCTGGGCATCAATATTGGAATTTTGTGCTTTTATAGACGTGATAGAGGTGGGCTGAGGTGAGAGTGGTCTTTGAGAGAACACAGGAAAAAACAAGTGGTTTGACAGTTTGACCGTGAGATATTTTTCTGAAGTAGTTATTGGCCATGGCCATGTTAGGTGAGAAGAGCTGACTGTGACATGCAAACGCTCCTATCACAAACAAAAATATGTGTTTTTGCAGTTGCATATAACATGCTAAGATAATTTTTTGTGAGCCACTTTGAGAGTAAGTAAATCTAATAAGGAGTAATTAAAATGTTTGAAATTAACTGAGAAGAAACTGTTAAAACTGATACGTCAAGTAAATTTTATTTATATAGCCAAATATCACAAATCACAACTTGCCACATGGAGCTTTACAATCTGTACAGCATACAACACCCTCTGTTCTTAAACCCTCAATTCAGAAGAGGAAAAAAAACCCTCAAAACCCTTTTAACAAGGAATAAACCTCAGGAAGAGGAACATAGGAGGAATCCCTCGCCCAGGACGGACAGGCAGGAAACAGATTCACAACAGGAAATCATAGTAAATACTATTACGATGACAAAAAGTAGATTGTAAGACATAAGTGAAGAGGATGGATACAGGAGGACAAGTGAGCAGCTTCAGACCCGGGAAGAGGACAAGCCACACAAACACAGAAGAGGACAACAGCATCTCACACAGAGAGGAGAAACAAACACACAGAGGGAGAAAGGGCCATGAGAACATGCAAACTAGGGAGAGTGGGGGATGAGGCTGAATCTCCTGGGGGACGAAGATCCAGATCAACGGATGAGGCACCGACAGCTAGGAGAGAGGGAGCTCCCAGGACAGCTTTAACAGCTTTTAGGGCACAGAAACAAAAAATTTTTTCTCAGCACAAAGGAGGTAAAGCAACACTGCAAGTCAGAGACTAACTAACTGACAGTTGAAATATATGAATCATTTGTAACATGAAGGTACTTTAAAACAATATGATTGTGTTCTTCATTTCTCCCCTCCACTTTCCATAGAGATGTGAGTAGGCTACATCTAGCGACATCTGATTAACATGTGACATGTGGTTAGTCAAAGAGTAAAGGGGGGTCTTGTTTGTCCCAGTTCCAGTACAGAGGTGTGGTTGTAGGCGGCTACATATCATAAGGTCCAAGCTGCAGAGAGGGGTGAGAGGTGGAGGTGGTGTGATTCATCCAGCTCCTCAACAGTCCTCTCCCATTACAGGATTACAGCACGTCACCTGCTGCCTTCAAGTGCTCCTAGGAAACGTCTAACTCCCAATTGCACGTGGACATTACTTGTGTGCAGTAATAAAAGCAAAATTTACCTTATACTGTTGTTTGAGTTAGAAGTCAAGCAACACGCTGCATATATGAGATTTGCAAACTGCACTGAAATTGTCATGCGTCTTGATGGTGACTCATTTATGAACCTGACACTTTCAGTGTGAAGACTCCTTTTATTGTACATAAAAAAAGAAAAATCACAAGGTAGAAGGTCTTTTACCAGTCCTTCACATGCGTATTGCAGCATCTGAATAATAATCACAGTACAACAGGGATGTGCCTTATTTTGAATCCAATGACTCCTTGTTAAGCGCAGAAGTGAAAAGACAAAAAATCACTGGTTTGGAGGTTGGACTAACTTGAATTTTGTCAGGCAACAGATTTTCTGATGATGAAATCTGAGACTCCCGTCATTTCTATAATTATAGAGTGACTTTTCCCCCTCTAGTATAATTATAAAATAAATAGTTTTCAGAAAATTCAGCATCTAGGCCTTTGGAATCATTCTTGAAAGGCTAACCTCAAAATTAATCCCTAATTTAAATTAAATTAAAATAATTTGTATCATTATTACAGAAGGAAAAGACACATGTCGTTATACTGTAATGGACATATTTATTTTTCGTAGTGCCTTAGAAATACTGAGCGTGTTCTTTCTGTTCATCGTGTGAGCTCAGGCAGTAACTGCGATGTTTCCGGCTGTTTTGAAGGCAGCTGCAGCTCAGGCAGTGCTGGTATTCACATTGCCAAGTGCAGCCAAGCAGGATCAAACTAGTCAGTCAACCAGAATAACACCAGAAGCTCAAATAGTTCCCCTTCAAAATAAAATTTGATCTTTAAATGAAAGCCTGTTTAACAAAAGAGAAAGCTGGATTCAAAGCGGGCAGCTGCTTTAGGTCCTTTAGAGTCCCAGATTTAGTTGGTTGGGGTTATTGCTAATTGTCGCATGTCTTGTAGAGACACCCTGCATTTATTATATTTAGTACATATTGTTCTCACATGGCGCATATTCTTTATTAAAGTAGAGTGGAGAAATGGAGGTGCAGTTGTGGCCTCTCTAAAGAACATCATCATCATCTTGTATCCAAGGATTTGCCCTTTTTTTTGTTTTGTTTTTTAACTTTCCTTGGATAACTAGACCTGGATGACTGATAATCTTCAGAGACATCTTCATATTGTGTATTTATGTTAACCAGGTTGAACTAAACTCAGCTGAACAATGAGAATGATTACTGCCTTGCTTCAATGCCTGTGTGAAAATTTAAATGCAATAACGGGATGCAATTCCTTCCATGCATTCAATATGCAAAAAAATAATAATCATGTAGTGATTATTTTGACAGACATTGCGATTGCATTATGAGTATAGATTTTAGTGGGAAAATTTCATTTTCACTGACCAAAAATATTTTGCATGAAGAGCCTACAATGAAAAATTATATGCTTGACCACTAACAATAGATTTTTTTTGTGTGGGAGTAAAATGAAGAGACACAGGAATAAAGAGGTACGTGGTTTTTAAAGTGCTTTATTACCTGTTGTAATCAGCTGGCCTGTTTCAGCAAAAACCTCCTGACTGAAAACAATGACTCCGGACCCAGTATTTAGCTGAACTCCATCAGCAGGACTAGCTGCACACCGGCTGCTATTTCCGAGCTATATATATATGAAGTAGACTACGATCTCAGGCAGACATCTGGGGAGACTTGTGTGTGCTATCTTTTGGTGTTGATTGTGATTTATTGGTTTGACGGTTGAAGACGGAGCAGTAGTAGCGAAACACCCGACAAGATTGACTTAAAGCAAGTTGCCTCTATTCAACCATTCAGATATTAAGTAGGGGCCAAATAAAGACCCTAGAACTTAATTTAGACCCTGGTGCCTGCAGTGGAAAAAAAAAATTACAATGCAGTACCAAATGCAGCATTTATTTAATTTTTTAAAACTTTGTTGGTACCTTGCTTAAAGATTTTGACGTGTTCACGAGTGTAGTTTTTATTTTGAAAACACTGACCGGAAGTCTTGCTCCTTCTGTACCATGTAGCTTGACATTGGAGAGGCGACTCGGCGATGCGGGGGACTTGAGGCCGCCGGGGGAAGACTCCGCGTTTCAAGGAATACAGCTAGCCAAGAAATAATGGTGTTAAATAATTCGTGGCTGCAGATGTTGAATAAACTGAATATACGCTTTACCCACCGGACCGCGTGTGTTTGGAGTCAGCCGGCTCAGATATCAGCTTCCTCAGTCACAGGGCATCGGTAGCCGAGTGCCCCGGCTTGCTGCTAGCCAGCAGTCCTTTTCCCAAAAAGCACCGCTCCAGAATCACGGCTCACATCTGTTTTAATAGCATCAGGAACGCCATCCCGCATCGCGCGTAACCGACCCGAGCATCTGACTGCTTTTCATTCAAGTAACGGCACGACCTGCATCTAGTTAGTCCTCTATCGCAAATCTGACCGCTAGGATCAAGCTAGCATCATCTGGAGTTGGATGGACGCGCGGCTCCGGCTCAGACACCACCCTCAGCATCATTGCCCCCGGAGCCCGGGACGCGTCCAAGCCCGTGCAGCTGCACCGGAATGCTAACTAAACGAGGAAGTGGCTGTAACATGACGAGGGACATCATTGCCTCCCGGCCGCTCAAGGCTTTCGGGTGCTACATGGATATTTTTTAGATGCCAAATGTAATGACCGCCCCGAGCTTGCACCATGTATGTGGCTGGCCGTGTCTGTCTCCAACCTTGCGGATGACACTCACACAGGTACCGGCGGTTCAGAGCAAACAGCGGCGGCGCGGACTCACCGTTACCGGGAAGTGCTGAGAGACGCCAAGCTAGAAAGCTAACAGCACAAGAATAAAATAAAAATAAAAAACTCCAGACAAATGCCAACACCAATGGTATCCCATAAGGTCTTCGTCGCAATAATCTTACTAAATGTGTATATAGGTGTACAGTCTGTTTTATACTTATTCGGCGGCGTCCTTTTAACGGTCCTCTTTGCTATGGCATTTCTAAATGGACCCAGGCTGCTTGACTGGGCGAATTCACCTCCACATCTTCAGTTTAACAGATACGTCTTAACGGGTTACCGGCCAATCTCCTCAGTGCAAGACTGCATCAGAAGCCTGTTTTACCTGCACAATGAACTTGGAAACATATACACTCACGGTGAGTAAGAACAGCTTAGTCAGCAGGTGAGATTTCTGTAGCCGGTGTGACTTTGACTATTAACCCACACCGTCCAGATGCTGGACCTGCAGAAAGATGCCAGGCATTATTGCACTAAGGCCAGGGAACACATGATCCACACCCTTATTATCTGACCACATATATTTGAGATAAATTCATATTTATATTTGAAAAACTTGTCTTAATGATTAATGAATGTTTAATTCGATATATAATATAAGCATTTAGTATATAAGTATTTAATAACGTGTATTTATTTGTTGCATAATGTTTGTCCATGTATTAAAATGCCTGTCAGTCAATTTGAGAGTCATAGGTTGGTTTTAATAAATGTGAAAGTGACTACTGACATTTGCTCAGGTAAGGTACAATTCTGAGGAACTTAACTTGAGTATGGATGTTACTTTATACTTCTCCGATCCCTTTTAGAGAGAAATACTGTACTTTTGTTCCACTTTATTAGACAGATGTAGTTACTACTTAGCTGATTATGATCAACCTTTAAAATATGACCCGTTGTTAAAGATTAAACTACTAATATAATGTATTAGGGCTGCAACTAGCAATTATTTTAAGTACTGATTATTTCCTATCCGAACATAAAAACCTAGTAAAGAAATGCCAATCACATCTTCCCAGAGCCCAAGGTGATGTCTTCAAATTAGGGCTGTACATAACATTATTTTTCAAGTCGATTAATCTGATTATTTTTTCGATTAGTTGATTAATCTAAGGACTATAATTTTGTGTATTATAAAGATTTTTTTTAGCCTATTACTCGTTTAACATACCAATTTATCCAAAATAAATATCAAAAACATGTCTAATCAATAAATCAATATTTTATTCAATCATCCTGAAGCACATTCCAATTTCCACGTCACTCATGTGTTGTGATAATAACAATAACAGACATTAATTGGGCTACAAACTTTAAATGTTTCTGACATGGATTTATTTCAATATTGAGTAATGCAGTATGATAATCAAGTGTATTTCTACATCAGTGTGGGGCAAAGAAAACAACTGAAACGACTCACAGACTGTGCAGACAGTCACAGATTGTCTGTAATGGATTGGATTCAGCTGTTTTGTTGCTCATACGTGGCGGTAAAATAAACAGAAAATATGAAACGGCCAAACGTTAGATGACACACGTTGTAACGTTACGTTGCCATGACAGCAGGTGGGCAGAAATTACTTTTAACATGAAGGCGATGAAGAAACACAAGTTCGATGCACTTAATGCGAGTAGATGTATTTATGTAATCGATTACATCATCTACGCCAACAAATCGCCCCAGCCACACTTCACATGTCTTGTTTTGTCTGACAAACAGTCCAAAACCCAAATTTATTCAGTTTTCAATGCTACGTGATGAAGAAAAGCAACCAATCCTCTCATGTGAGATACTGGAACCAGAAAGTTTGACATTTTTTCACTATTTTTGCTTAAAAAAGACTGAAACGATTAATCGATTATCAAAATAGTTGCAGATCAACTAATCAAATAATAGATCAATCGTTTCAGATCTATAACATAGTTTGCTCCAGCTCAACCCGCTACAGTAAAAGCTGCTATAAATGCTACTTCCACATTAATGCATCAGTAACATTTTTCCATTATTATGATATACAACAAAACAACAATCACAGAGGGGGTTTGTCAGATTAACAAGTACGTTTACTCTGTAATTTTACAAAAAAAAAAGATTTTGAATGCTTTTGCTTGTAAGTATGAGTATTTTTACACAGTTGTATTCTTATCTATACTTCAGTAAAGCATCAAAATACTTCTTTAACCACTGTCAGTCATGCACTTTAAAGGTTGCCACAATTTCCTACCAATATTAATCTTGCAATGGCGAGCAGAGATAACCACTTCAACCACTTTTTCTTTTAATTAATACATTAATACAACACATACATACATTGCATATAGCATTTGTTTCAAATTACAGACCGTAGGCCAAATTTAACCAGCTATGTATCGCCACTAACAAGCAGACATATATATACACACAACAAAAATAGCCAGGAGTGGCTTTTTTCATCTGGTCCAAAATGTCATAGTTACACAAAGATATGGCATTCTTTGAAAAGGTTGGTGCAACCCAGATTAATTGCAGTTATGTGTTAATCTGTGTAGCCAGAGGTGAGACTGATGTGTCAGCTTGTTAGCAATCTGCATGGTGTTATTGTGTCATTGTTTCTGTTGTGATATGATTAGACTGACATTAGCATGGCACACAGTAGCATGACTTTGACCCCTCCTCTGATTACCATCTAAATGCATCCTATAGCCGTAGAGGTTGCGGTGTTCTGAGAATTGGACAGCGAAACCACAGTAGTGATCATCAGGGAAGCGGCCCTGGAAGTCTTTATTACACTCCACTGACGTCAGCTGAGCATCTGACCTCAAATGCATGCTTAACATCATTGCCTATATAAGGAAGTGATGTTTAATCCAATGAGATTTTGTCCAATTTTTTCAAATTTAAAAGAAAATATGCAGTGCAGTGCTCAGATGGTACATTGTTGAGTTTGTATTGTGTTGTAACATTTCAGCTAAGTTTCATGAGCTGGTTTGTTTTGCATATAAACTCAAAACATCCTGCCCGCGGCGGCTCAGCTCTCAGACACTTCCCCATGTTCATGTCGCTGGCCTTCAGGAGAGGTCCCCCCCTCCCCCCACTCTCTCCAACCCTGAGTGGGACTGAGTACAGCCCGTCGGCTCAGGACGAGTCGGGGTAAGAACAGAGATAACACACTTAAAATAGATGTGTTACAGTAGATGGCAGTGCCTGTATCACCTGGCTGGGCCTTGACATTGGGAAAGGCAGAGTGAGCAAAAAAAGAGGAAGGGAGTGCAATATGAGAAATGATCGTAACAATGGTATGTGGATCAAATTTCAAGGATTTTGCTCACATAGCAGTGAATTCCACTTCAGCTACTGTATATTAGCAGTATGGAGGACTACAAATACCTGGGAGTGCACATGGACAATAAACTGGACTGGTCCAAGAACACTCAAGCTCTCCACAGGAAGGGCCAAAACCATCTCTATTTTCTGATCAGGCTGAAGTCCTTCAACATCTGCAGGACTATGCTGAGGATGTTTTTTGAGTCTGTGGTGTCCAGTGCTATCCTGTTTGCTGTTGCATGCTGGGACAGCAGGTTGAGGGTAGCGGACGCTAACAGACTCAACAAACTGATCCGCAAGGCCAGTGACGTTGTGGGGGTGGAGCTGGACTCTCTGTCGGTGGTGTCAGAGAAGGATGCTGTCCAAGCTACATGTCATCATGGACATTGTCTCCCACCCACTCCATGACGTGCTGCTAAAACACAGGAGCACTTTCAGTGCAAGACTCACTCCACCAAAATGCACCACAGTGCACCATGGGAAGTTATTCTTGCCTGTGACCATCAAACTCTATAACTCCTCCCTTTAAGTGCCTGAAACACGGGCGCTTAGTTAGTTATTAAACTAGACATTATTATCTGTGCAATAATCTGTTTAAAAACGTAACGTGCAATATTTTCTGCTGCAGTTCTGCTGCTATTTATACAGTTTTACTGTTCACCATAACAATTATTTTAATTATCTAAATATTGTACATATCCACACTCCTTTATATTTCTTTGTATTTTATATTTTTACTCTGATATTTCTATACTTCTTTATATACCAACTTTCTGTTATTATTTGTATTCCTTTTATGTGTGTGCAACTGTGACGCAGAATTTCCCCTCGGTGATCAATAAAGTATTTCTGATTTCTGATATGGCCCTTTGCTGTAAAATATGAGCTTAGTAGGAGCTTTGTCTTTCCCCTCAAAGGGTAACACTGATACATTTCTGCCCATCAAGTAGGTTTCTGCTCTGCTCCACATTATTCTTGCTGTCGTCTGCACACACTCAGCATAGTTGCAAGCCCTTCCTGGCGACTCACTTTTGTGCAGTTTGATAAAATAACATGCACAGGCGTGGAAAGTCCTGAGGTTGATAATCCATCACAACAAACATGACACTGAAATTTGGTTTTTAGCTGATGGTTTTCATACCAAAATGCACATAACCTCAGGTTCAAACACGTTACTGTCAGAAATTACTGCACAGAAAGCACATGACACTGTGTACAACAAAGGTATTCTCAATTTAAAATCTTTGTGTGTCAAGCCGTGAGTGGAGCTACACAACTAAAGCCAACTCCTACAACCTGTGCTGTCTCTGCCCTTCCTCTCTCCAGGCATCCCTTTGGTTTGCTTTCTGGTGCTGCTGCCTCTCAACATCCCCTGGTCTCAGATCAGTGTTACGTGGTTGGGCGTGGTGCACTTCCTGGCTTGCCTGTCACCTCAGCTAGGCTCTGTGCTCTACCACCTCTTCATGAACCACGAGGGAGGGGAACCCGTCTACCACACCCTCCTCAAACTCGACGTGTGTGGAATCTGCATGATCAACACGTTGGGTAAGACGACTTCTTGGAAGCTCAGCAGATTTCTTCACCGTATATTCGCCCTATTGTTATTACTTATCTGTTTACTTTGGGAGTGGTTTTAATATATTTTTCTGTATCGATTGTCAATGATTTACCATAGACGTATTTTGCTTGGAGGCGCACTGAAACAAATTTGACTTCTGAGTCAAGTGGCCAATGCAAGCACTGATCCAAGTTCTAAGATGACTATTGATCTTTCCATGGTGCCGGCATGAACCTATTATAACAACAATGACAAGTGCAATATTTATATATGTTCTTATGTGCTTATAACAAACAATTTAGAGTGGCAACACTGTTATTATTCTGTTAATAAAAATAAAGTAATAACTAATATTGTGACATGAGACTTACAATTTAAATGAAGGCTGCATTAATCTGATGCAGCTGTTCCTGCTGAGTCACATTAACATTGAATGGCTCTACCTGCTTTGCCAACATGCCCACATTACTTATATTTTATTCCTTACTTTACCCCTAGCTTAGATTTAGTATTGTATATAATCATAAAAGATAATAAAATTGATTTGGCCTGTCATTTCTTTTAAAGGTGGGACTAAATGGACTTATATATAAATAAATCAGAAAAAAATCCTCCTATTTGAGAAGCTGGAGTGTTTTTGCTTATCAAAGTAGTTGAGTGCTATATTTTTGCCCAGTCAGGCAGTAATTAAACATTAGACGGTCTGCAAGCTGCTTACCGCACTCGGAAAGAGCAGTGTCACACTACTGAAACAGTTTGGCCTCTTAGCGTTGTGGTTTGCACCAGGTGTTGCATTGCTGAGTCAAGCATCAGCGCGCCATCAGCTCCATCTCTATGCTGATTCTCCCTTGTGTGTTTTCTTGTCTCAGGGGCGCTGCCCATCGTCTACAGCACGCTGCTGTGCTACCCGTTCATCCGCACCGTGGCTCTGTTAGTCTACATCCTGCTGTCCAGCCACGCCATCTACTGCGCCGTCACGGCTCGGAGCAGCGTTCGCCGGCTGCGCTCCTTCGCCTGGCAGGCCCTTTTCCGCTTCTCCTTCTTCTTGCTGCGCTGGGTGGGCGTGGGCGGCGGCAGCCCCACCTCGCTACGCCACTTCCTCACGATGGACGCGCTGGCCGTGCTGGGTGGGGTCATTAACATCACACGCATCCCGGAGCGCTTCCGCCCGGGCCTCTTTGACTACTGGTGCAATAGCCACCAGATCATGCATGTACTGGTGGTGGGTTCCATCCTTTACCTGCACTGGGGTGTGCTGGACGATCTGCTGTGGATCAACAGCTATAACTGTCCCTCAGACTGACCCCCCCCGCAGTCTCACCCCCTCACAAAGAACACTGGGATATAATGTTAAAGGACCTCTGTGGGTGTCTGTAGAGGGAAGGGGAAGGAAGGGAAATCAGGGGGAACTGATCCTGTGAGGTGAGACGATATGTTGTTTGTGCATGTGTTCACCTCATGCACTGAAACGTAGAATGTTCATATCTCCGTTCATCTTGGTACTTTGTGCAGATACATACAAAAGTATGTCAAGTAACACGCACAAGCATTTTGACTCTTAATTGCCACAAACACACACACACACACACAGCAGAATGGAAATATTTTAAACAGTAAATTTAATGAATTAGTTTTGAACATATACATGCATTGATAAAGTCTTAAGTAAAGGCTCTAGTTAAAGGCTAATGCTGAGTTTAAAGCCTTTACTTAGTAACAGAAGTTTTACTTGAGCAGTAGTTGATGTAGTTGGTTAAGACAGCCTGTGGCTAAATTATATCACATGCTCAAGTCCTCTCAGATGTCACTGTTGCGACCTATGCAGCACATCCATATCACAAGTCATGCACATCACATACACTCAACAACACTCAGACACCCTCGCACATATATTTTTATACTACATGTACATACTGTACAAGTTCATAGAGTTTTCACTATGTCCAACGGACTGAATTTTACTGGACTGGTTGTTCTGTCTGTGTTTCCTTGTTTTCTGCCACTGCCTCTTTTTATTTATGTGTGTGTCTGATTCGTCCTTAAAGTCACAAGATTACGAGGAAATGAAGATGGGCGAGGGGGTTCATTCCAAAGTGTGCTAGCATGTTGGCAATGAGTTAACTTGCTGTTGGTGGCTTGGACCACACATTAGAATCAATTGTGCAGTGTTATTGGCTTTGTTTGCACCTGAGCTCAGTGCCAATGATATTCAGGCATTTTTAATCAGAAAAACAAATGCACACGTTTACAAACTATGTTGTTCAGTGGCATTACCCTTTGCCAAACCTTTGCATATAGCAAAGTCCTAGTAATTTATTCTTGTGCATTTACAATAACCTCCCATTATAAGGAAGGTTGTCACCACTATTTCCTTTTATGGAAGAGGAGGTTTTAGTACTTTTATAAGTGCTGTCTTATGTTTAACATTATTTAATTTATAATTTGTTCTGTAAAAATGACTGACAGACTCAGACAGGTCCTCTGATGATAACAAAGTTTTACACTGAAACGCCATCATATGTCAATTAGATCATGATGTATATGTGGAAGCAAGATGCACGAAACATCTTTTATGGTAACTTGATTGTAATTATAAGATCTTAAAAAATTAAACATCTTTACACTATAAACCTGTTCAGACAAACTACAGACAAAACTCACTTGCATATTGGCACAATATGCGCAAGATACTGTAATGAAATACATTATATTTATTAAGCTTTTTATTCAGTTGTATTTATTTGCAGATACAGGTAACATTGTTTCTGCCTGAACAGTTTACGTTGTTGCTGTGCAGGATCACTGGCTGACAGATCAATTTAGAGGTCAGAGAAAATCTTTTATTTTATTCAAGCCGTGCAAATCCCGAGGATTAAATCCTCATTTTCTCCCCTCACACTTTTTTTCCAGCGATGTTTGACTTCTCAGTCACACAATAATGTGGCGGGGGGGAAGGTCGGTCTCTATGCATTACAATTCACATAACATTCACAATAATCATTAAGAAGAACATTGTTATGTGACTTTTAAAACTCTTCTGAAGATGTTACTTTTTCTCGGGCTTGAATGAAAACAGTTTTATTGTATTTGGATGTTTACTTGTACATTGACGCTAGATATTGATGGTTTATAAGGGTCAGTGATTATTGCTACTTTATGTTTTCTTATTTAAATGCACCACTTTTGCTCTGCAGCTAGATTTGTGTTTTGTGAAATTGAACAGCTTGACTTGCACTTTAAAAAAAAAACCTGAATAGATGTTAGACAGTCTGAGTCTTTTTAAATTGGAGTAGTATTTAATTTAGCTCGCTTTGCCAAACAGGAATGAACCCCTATGCCCTCCTGTTAGGTCTTTGTGAATGTCCATGATTGTTTTGCCACTGTATTCCTCTGTAGCATTTCAGTTACTACTCTTGAGTAAAAGTCGCTGTTGCTCTGTACCTTCATTCTCAAGACTAGTGGTTGAAGTGCGATTTCTTTTCCAGAGGGAGACTTTACTTTCTTAATGACATTGCACTTGTTTTCCATGCCAACAGTCACAGCCGCCCACTGAGTAGTTGCTAATTTCCCCAGCCTCACTTCATCTCGCCAAATTAGCAGAGTCTGAGGTGTAGCATATCCTCTGCCTCCTGCGCTATCACTGACTCATGATGAAGAAGGATTTCCCATAGTCTTTATCACATACACTACATTGTGCCCACCCCCCCACCTTGATAAAGAGCAAGATACTGGACGTCTGCTAGTCTCACTATGATGATTATTACTTACTATGACCATGGGACAATGTATGTATTTTTGGCCATTGAATGAAACTGAAAAAGATGCATGAAAGTAGTTGTGAAACAGAAATTGTTGTCCAATAGTGTTAGCCAATTGTTTGTTGATTAGTTGGGGGGGTGGGGGTGGGATGGGTGATGTTGGGGGATGTCCACTACAGGAAGATTATTGAACAGCTCCGATCAGAAGCAATACATCACTATCAAATAAACTGCATCGTTCATCGTTCTAAAAAGGGCTTTGGATCAAAGTAAATTACAATTGTGAACCATATTTAAAGTCCATATAAATAATGTAAATACATGTATGTAGATTCTGTATACATACAGTGCAAATAATATACCCTGATTAATTTTTGATACACACACACCATAATGTTAAGGAAAGAAAAATAAGAAGAAACAGGAATAATGGTTAGCCACATATAAGCTGCTGCTCTCTTTCACAGCCAAAGTGAAATATGAGAGAGGGAAGCAGACGCGGCTCGGTGCGGTGCTTCAGATTAATATCGAAGACGTGTGTTTGCTTAGCTATATCCATATGTATGTGAATAACACAGAAAAAAAAATACTGAAATTGGTTTCAGTGCTAATGTAGAGTTGTTTGACCTTTTGTGACCCTAGCTAAGAATGCATTTGATCGTTTAGGTTTTTTAGACACGTGGGAAAGACATTCCTGACCATTGCGGGGAATCTTGGCAGGCATGTGAATACCTCGTGACTACCAGTGGTCTATCTATGCATTATCAGCTGAAGGAAATGTAACAGTGAAGTCGATTTGTGTTTGGTAAGACAGCTCTCTGATCCACTGTAACGGAGGGCTTCGCTCCGACATCCTGGGTCTCCCACTTCTCAGGGTGCCATAACAGTAGCTGTAACATCCGAGACCTGACCTCTGCTGCCTGAAACATGGCTGCGAGACTTTGACCTACCTCCACCTGCCCTCTTGGTCCAGTCTGTTCATGCTATGAACTGTGTAACAGATTGGATAGAAGGGAGAGAAAAGGTGGAAAGAAGTTTCTCTCAGAAAACCATGTTACAGGAGTGGAATCTGGCCAGAGAAATTGGTCTTTTGTCTGTATGTTATATGAAAAAAAGTGACATGATGTAATAACACATCACTAACAAAACAAAATTCAAAATTTTTTTTAATATAACAGGTGCCGGATAGCCTGTTAATGACCTGTTTATAATGGATTACCTGTATTGTTATATACTGATTATTATGATTACTGTTATTCTGTGGATCTAATAATGACACTGGTCTTTGTGTACAGATAATGAGACATGCCCTTTCCTTTAGGATGAAGGGAGCTTTCTGGAGTGTCTGTCTGTTATTGTCTCTTCATATCTGCAGTCAAAGGAGTGAATGTGGCTCCATCTAGCGGAACTTCATGTGCACTGATGCAGGCATTACTGTAGCCATACTGCAGGCAAATGAAAATAATTGACAGGCTGTCAGCTGTGGATTTGTAGTTATTCTCCAGGGTTGTTTATTTATATTTCCAGACCATGTATGTATGACGCGTGTATGATCTCTCCTGCAAAACCCATGCAAGCATGAAATCTGTATGTTGTCAAATTTACTTTCTCCCTTTGCACTGATGGGGTGCTGATTGCATCCCCAGAGTGTGTCATTATCCAGTCTGTGTGCTTGCAAATTAATGTGCATGAGCACAGACGCACACTTTGTTCCTGTGCTGTAGTTCACGCGTCTGTCCAACATTAGTGTCCTGTGTAACAGACAGGCTCTCACACTCCTCAGTCTCCAGCAACGATTGTGCAATAAACTGAAGTCTATATTTTTAAACTCGCCTATATGCCATCTCTTTCATCCATGTTCCTTTTACTGAGAAGTGTGTGTGTGTCCTTTTGTACTTACTAACAATTTGAGTTTTAGGACTGGGAAGTGAGGACGTTTTGGCCAGTCCGCACCTCTTTAAACGGCTGTTTGAAGGTTTAGATTTGGTTTTAGGGTTAGAATTAGGTTAAAGTTGGCATAAAAGTTGAAGTTATGCATGTAGTTGTGGTGGTTAAGGTTAGGACTGGGGACCAGGGCAGTGTTTCCACTGACGCCCAATTGAAAAAGCGTCTTTTTATCGGAATACAAATTTCCCACTAAAAGTAAGACTATATTCTGACAAATCTCTTTTCTAATTAGTACATATCTTATCATTGAGCTTGATGAAGCCAAATGGCATTAAAGTTTATTACAACTGGGCTAAAACCATTTTTTTTTTTTCAAAATATTTTTCATCATCTCTGTGATAAAATCCTGACATCTGTTTATATAATTTAATACTTTTTCAGTTTAATGCAGTTTTGCCTAAGACTTGGTTGAAATCATTTTTATTGAATTGAGCTGCAGATTTAGGAATACTTTTGTTTATGATTGGGCAGGTTTGAAGTGCTGATTAGGCAAATTGGTGTCAGTCAAATCTGCAAACACTGGGCTAGGGAATGCATTATGTGAGTAAGAGTACTCACAAGTACAGCAGTACGTGTGCATGTATAATCAGGATTGACTGTCCCCACAATGATAGAAGGAAAATCCTAAAAGGAGAGGACACTACTTGACCTCAGCTCTTCAAGTAGTAAATCAGGGGTAGAGCTTGTTACTGTCATAGATAAGGAAAGGTAGAGCTTTTAGTGTAAGGTCAGAGGTTGAAGTTAATAAATTGGGTTTAGTTTTAATATCAGTGAGCGTCAAAGTAAGGTGTACGCATTATTTGTAAGATTAGAGGTTAGGAAATGAATCAAATAGATATGAGGTCCACACAAATACTGTCAAGCAATAAGAGAAGTTGAAGTTAGAATCACGTTTAGGTTAATGTTAGGGTAGGGGCTGAGGTTAGGATAGGGTTGGCATTTTTATCTTGATATAATCTTGCAAAAGATCTTTTAAAACTTGCACCGTCTTTGCTTGTGTGTTGCTGTCTGCAGTTTTTCAACCCTAAAACTGTCACAAGAGACACCTCCCACTTCCACAATCATTTGAAACTGTCACTTCCTCCGTGTCATTTTGTGATATGCATTAACCTACCGACCTCTTAAGTCCTCATTCTGGTGGCAGGGTGTTTGGTGCACCGCCGAAACTCCTTGAGCTGAATCGCCCCCACACGACTCCCAGGTAGGCCTGCAATATCTGTCTGCAGTTTGTGATTCAGTTCATTTACGCCTACAAAACATCTCTGCAGATACCAATGTATCTATAATAGGTTAATTTTTTTAAAATATAATAGTAAAATAACATGTAAAACTAACAGAAAGTCATTGATTTGAAGTGAGCATCTTTGATCCTTATGTTCCACATGCTTCCTCCTGTTTCGAGTCAGTGAATTGTCTCCTACTTTGTACCAGGCAATGTTTTCCATCACAACAGAGAGTCACAGTGGTAGAGAGAAATTATTGACATGCATTTAGGTTCCTGATAAAATTACTGCTCACTCTATAAAGGATTATTAAATTAGGCGCAGAGCAGCCAGAGAGGTCTTGTGATGCACATGCAGCAAAACTGTTGTACGCTTCTCAGTCAGAGCTTAGGCGCGGCTGCAGATTTCAGGAAGTAAAATCTACAAATGGAGGTAAAGCAAAACATATTCAGTGTTTTTGATTGGTGGTACTGTCGCAAAATAGTGTTTGTTTATTTTGCAGCTGGTATTGACCGAACTTATACATGATTTGAGGCTTGACACAAATCTTGTAACTCATTCAGTTTTGTTTGATTTCTGCTTTGCTAAAGGGTGAATTTATTGTGTTTAATGTTTTTAACTTGCAACTTGCTAAAATATGTATTTGCAAGTGTGTATATCTCACAATGACAGCATGAGTGTGTGAATGACAAATTTCACCAGAGAGACAGGTTGGTGGTTTTGTTGCTCGCTCTGAAGGATGTGGTGTAACTGCTGCTTTGGGTAACTCATCTACCTTATTAGGCATACAGCATGTGCAGCTCAACTGATGATACATAGCATTGCTTTTTATGGGTTATCTTCATACTGTTGTCTTGTACAATTGTCTTCAGCATGCACAATTATTTAAGCAACACACAGAACCCCAAAGTAAAGAGAGAAAGGGAGCAAAGTATCAGTCACAGACAGACTAGAGGAAGCAGTTGTGAAAGCTTTTCTTCCTCTTTTTTTTAGGTTTCCTCTGTCGTGACTTTCAGCTGTGTCGTCAGCTTTGTCTCTATCAGTTTATTTCCACATGAAACATAAAAGCATAAACATAAAGGGAATTACTACAGGTTAATTACATAGTCTTTTATTCAATCAAATGATGACATTTGGTGGGCCTTTGAAATGCACAGTGTAACAGCTTATAGACAATTTTAGGTTTTACTACAGGCTTCCTGCACATATAAATTTTCATTCTGAGCCTGTCATCATATTGACCCATGGTTTCTTTCCAGTTCACCATGTCCAGGAAGGTTGTGAGGACCAGTAAGTTCCGTCACGTCTTTGGCCAGGCTTTGAAAGCTGACCAATGCTACGATGACATCCGAATCTCCCAGATGACATGGGACAGCAACTTCTGCTCTGTTAACCCCAAGTTTGTGGCCATGATTGTGGACGCCAGTGGTGGAGGAGCCTTCATGGTGTTGCCCCTGAGCAAGGTGGGTCACAGGAAACACCTTGCTTATATTCGCACAAAGATGAAAACTAAATCTGCTGCTTGGCTCTCTGTGCCCGTCAACTTCTCATCATACCATTTTTGGACGTGTTGATCATTTCAGATGCAAGTTAGTGTGATTTTTTTTTAACACCATGCTTACATTTTAAAATTTGAATGTTGCCAGTCACCATCGCACATTCACTTGAATAAGGAAGTTTGATGCCGACTTTCTGCACGTCACACGCTCTGCTGTTGAGAGAGGTTTTCACCATATTAGGAGTTTGTTGTGAGCTCAGTCAGGGCAGGATGTGGCCTCAGCCCTGTTATTCTGCAGTCACTTATGGAGTATGTTAGGTGGCTTGAAACTTTTTTTTGTGCATTTTATGTGCTCGAAAAGGTGGGAAATTGTTTATGGTCATCCGAACATCTGAATT